CGCTCAAAGCTCAAAGCGGTTCGTGTCGCTCAAATCCTTTTCTTCTATTCTGAAGGAAGAGATTGACTGAAGCGATCGGTGCTAGTTTAAGCACGTTTTTGATAATTCTTCTCGTTGATTTGCCCTGTGTTGTACTTCAATGTAACGCAGTAGTGTGCAACTTCAATGCCTCAATATTCATACTTGTATTGTGTTGTACTTGTTGTACTTATCTCAAAGCTGTTTGCACTTGGAAAGCTGTACTAACTTGAAACAGGTTAAACACTCTAAGAGTGGCGCCAACCGCTCAGTATATATAATTCGCCCGGAATAGAAGGAAAGTATTGCTTAAAACACTTGCTAGATTCGAGCACTAGATTTCTAGAACATGAAAAACACTAAGCCAAAAGTGCACCAGAAACTTTGCTTTACTGAAGTATCCCGAATCACTCACTGACTGGCCAAAGTTTGGACGCACACTTCTCGATCATTTCTTGGCCCATTTTGCGTAAAAATATTTGTTTATTTTTGTTTTACAAACTTTGAGTTTAAACCCTTTGGTTTAAAAGGTATTTTTAACGCCTAAGATATTCGATTTACAGTATCAGCACAAAATTTATAAGAAAAGTTACCATTCTTATTCTTACTTTCAATTCAATTAATTTTCATTCACTTTTGTTCAATTTAACCATTCAGGATCTTGACAAGAAAGCTTTACAAATGATTGAAAAATTCCCTGATCTGAAAGAAGAAATTGAGAAATACGTTGCAAATTATGATAAAGTTTACCGAGATTATAAGCGATTTATGGAGATTCGAAGGAAAACTTGTAAGTAAAACTTTTTAGAGGAAAGGAAAACTTGCTAGAGTAATGAAAGTGAAACATTTACTTAGGTACCAGTCAAATTCTATGCCAAGGAGATGTTTGGACACCGAATATTCTCTGGGATTTGGATGAAGAAGGAGATTTCATGTGAGAGCTCTCGTCGATTGGCAGGTATCGTTAAATCTCAGGCTCAGGCTCAGGCTAGGCTTTCCTAGTGCGATAGGAAATATGTCAAAACCAAGCTAATTTCGGGGATGATTGCGTGAATAGAATGGGTATTGGATGACAGTAAACCTAGCAACCTTACAGTTGCTGTTGCTAAAATTACAGTTGTTGCTAAACCCCACCCCATTACCCGCCACATCATTGCCTTCTTAAATTCGAATTTTCAAAGCTCGCCATAGCCGCCATAGCCGCCCTGGTCGATTGGCTAAGAGCCCTAGATCTTAGTCGAGAGGTCAAGAGTTCAGTCCCGCCGGCTAGATTATTGAATCTTTTCCCCATCTACCGTAAATGCTGTATTTAAACGACACCCCATTTACATTTGAAATAGAATTTTTTAATTTGTATTCAAAATTTGTATCCAAATGGCTCAGCTACGCAACGTTTAAAATTCATTTTAAAAAGCTCATTCTTTTCATTTTCGCGCCAAACATTTATTACATTTATCTCTCTCATTTTTTTGTGATTATATTTCAATAATTTTTTTTGGAATGGGATCAATCGACGAGAGAGTTTTCAGTCATCTTTACCGGAAAAATCGAAGGTTTCGACCACGGAAGGATTCGAACCTTCAATCTTCTGCTCCGTAGGCAGACGCGTTATCCATTGCGCCACGCGGCCAGATGTTTCCCTCCCAAAAGAGTTCATTCACATCTCTCCCCAAGACAAAGGAACCCAGTTTTGGCATTTCTGACACCTGTCAATTGCTCGAGGGAAGAATCCTGTTTTCAAAAGACATTTATGGAGTCGGGGCACCATGGCCGCGTGGCGCAATGGATAACGCGTCTGCCTACGGAGCAAGAAGATTGAAGGTTCGAATCCTTCCGTGGTCGAAACCTTTGATTTTCCTGGCAATCAAATTCTTGAACAATTGAATGGATTGAAGAATTTCGGGCTCAACGAGAAACTCTCCATTTGGATTCAGTTGTTATTCCTGGAGGAACGATTAAGTTCATTCAGTGTCATGATGTGGCCTGGAATCAGCATTTCAAGGCTCATATTCGGCAGTGCTATGGAGATTGGATGCTCTTGGATAAGCTCACGGGAGGAGGAAAGTCGAAGCCAAAGGATTATTACTTAGATCATTACTTGGGATGGATTTTTGATGTGTGGGATAAACTTACCCCCGAGCTAACCCCCAAGTCGTTTAAAGCAAGTGGATCCGAGCATCCGAGCATAGAGCATCATAGAGCCCTGGATGGTTCCGATGATCACCTTATTCAATGCTTTAAGCCAAAAGGAGCAATCCCAACAGGTTGCTTAGGTAGTTTTGTTGCAATTTATTTGTTTCTGTTTTTATGACTTGCCAAATTGAAGGATGCTCGTTTGGATCAAGAAATCGCTGAATTGTTGCAAAGATTGGCTTGGCTTGGCTCTCCCGCAATTGTTCTACTTTCATATAAATTTTGAAGCAGAGCTTTCCAGTTGGGAGTGGCTAGCATTTGGATACAAATGAATATGTTGAAGCTGAAGATGCAGACAAACTAAGTGATGACTTGAATCTTTTCGATTTTCGATATTCCGCGAGATTTTATCGGCAAAGTTATAACGTTAAAATTGATCTTTTAATATAATCTAAAGGGGTATTGAAAAATAGAACGACATATCGTTCTAATACAGCATTTACGGTCTATGGGCTTTTTTCTTTCCTATATTTAAGGCTGAAGGGTTGTGCTTGTTGCTGACGGGTTATGCTATTGTTTGTACCACATTATTCGTGTAAATAAGCGTATTTTTTAAAGCTTACATTCAGTTGGTTCATGTCGGTTCTCCACTTGAGGATCTCGTCTTCCTTCTACATAGTGCTTGCTCAGTTGATGACCATGAGAATCAGTGAGTTGATAACCATGAGAATCAGTGAGTTGATGACCATGAGAATCAGTGAGTTGATGACCATGAGGATCAGTAAGTTGATAACCATGAGAATCAGTGAGTCTTTAAACTTGGTTGTCCCGCAATTGTTCTACTTTCATATCAATTTTGAAGCAGAGCTTTCCAGTTGGGAGTGGTTAGCATTTGGATTACAATAAAGTTGATGGTATAAGGCTAAGTTTTGTTTTTGATTAAGCTCAAGCTTAAGTGGTTAAGTTCAGAACAAGTATAACTTGAACTTTTATAGTTCAGTTCAGTTCGAATTTTAAAGTCAAACAGTAAAACAAGAAAGTAAGCTCCTTGAATTTTTGGTACTTCTGATTTTTTTCCAAGCAAAGAAACGCAAACTTACATATATTTTACTACATATATATTGTACGATACAGTTTACATTTCAAATATATGTCGTAGCCGTAGTGTCGAGCGCATTTCCTTAAGATCGACGTTTTTCTGATCGCCATCTCCCAATCGCTCATCGGAGTCGTTTATTTTGCTGTACATGCTGCCGCATCTGTGCCGGGTGATTACCGTAAATACTGTAATAGTATAGGATAGCATAGCGCCATAGCATAAGAGTGTCGCGTACTTTTAGAAGTAGGTATAGAAAAATTGTAAAACTGTATAAATCTGAAGAGGCTATTTGTTTTTTCTCGTCAAGATCTACAAAATGAATGGTCGATGAGCAAATTTGACTTAGTAGAACCCTAGAAATCGTATTTTGGGGTATTATATGTCGTAGCCGATTATGAATTTCAGCCCATTATGAATGAGTGGGTCTAGGAGCGTCCAACCATCAAGTATTTAGTATAATTCAACGCAGAATCATTAATACTTATGTTAAATTTTTTTAATTAGAAAGATTAGATAAAAAGAAAAAAAATTATGGGGCTTTAAAGTTTTCTCTTGAACAAACAGTTTTTTGCTCTAATTTTTTTTCTTTTTATTCAATCTTTCTAATTTAAAAAATTTAACATAGTTATTGATGATTCTGCGTTGAATGATATTAAATACTTGATGGTTGGACGCCCTAGACCAACTCATTCATAATGGACTGAAATTCATAATCGGCTACAGGGGTCCCGCCTATTTTGAATGAAACGTTGTAGCGCCGGCAATTTTTAACCTAAACTCACAAATTTGGTACCAATCGACGCAGAATTGAATTCGCTACAAGATGATATAATATTGTCCTCATACATTAAAGGGTTGTTCTACTAGAAAGATTTGCCAAAAAATTTCATTCATAATCGGCTACGACATATATAAATCAGCTGTATTTCGTATTCAGAAATGTAAACTGTATTGTGCAAGTTCATATATGCAAATGTAGTAAAAGATCTGCAAATTTGCGTGGATCTTTTTATCACAAGAATGTCACAAGAACCAAACAAATCATTCTAATTTTTATCCACGCACTTTAATCGATGATCTGTGTCGAAAAAGTCACAAGCGTTTTGCTAATGTTTCTCGTTTTGAACAAGGAAAGGTGTATGCATTAGACTTCGGAATTTTCGGTGTCAATGTCAATAGGTGTCCAAGAATGTCAATAGGTGTCCAACGGAAAAATTCCATATCTTGGCCAATTTCATCTGAATCTTTTTGTCTTTGATTTCAATCGATAGAAAATTAAATTCTGCATGTTCTCAGGGTGTTTTATGCGACAGTGTGCTACAACGGAGCGTCACGTAGTCTAACTTTAAGCGCCTTGTTCTCAGGGTGTTTTATGCTACAGTTTGCTAAACAAAACTAAACTGGTAGTTCTCAACTAAACATTTGTGAATAGCATGACAATGACAATAATCTTAAAAGAGCTCTATAACCATATATTCTGACAGTGCTATGGTTCACAACTTGGGTCTTTTTGTTTTGTTAAAATTCCGATAAAATAAGTATACGTTGTAGCACACTGTAGCATAAAATACCCTGAGAACAAGGCGCTTAAAGTTAGACTACGTGACTTTCCGGCCGTCACTGCATACGAGTTGAATCAACAACTTAAGGCTCATGTTTTAGTACGACTGATGAAGTTAAAGGGTGAACTTTTAAACACAGTTGGTCTGATGTGTTAAGTTATACATTGTACAAGATCAACTATTTCGAGTACATTGTACAAGATGAACTTTGATATTTGAAAAAAAGGGATAAAATGAAGATATATTTTGAAGATATTTGCTTTTCGACTATAAGGAAATTGAGAAACCTAACTGATTCAACCCAACTATAGCTTTTTTGTAGTTTAGACATCCGAAGCTCCACAACATTATAAAACTATAGTTAACTACCGTAATTATTCTAATAAAAGCACCGCCTAGTGACGGCCGTAGCGTCACGTAGTCTAACCTAAGCTCCTTTTCTCAGCGTGTGTTTTATACTACAGTTTGCTACAACGGAGCGTCACGTAGTCTAACTTTAAGCGCCTTGTTCTCAGGGTGTTTTATGCTACAGTGTGCTACAACGTATACTTATTTTATCGGAATTTTAACAACCTAGATATGTCTATAACCCGTTAACACTAGACCTGGGAATTTTCGGTGTGAACGTCAATAGGTGTCCAACGGAAAAATTCCATATCTTGGCCAATTTCATCTGAATCTTTTTTGTCTTTGATTTCAATCGATAGAAAATTAAATTCTGCATCAAATGATATCAAAATCAAAAAGATCCGAGTGAAATTAGATATCATTTTTCCGTTGCACGTCTATTGACGTTCCCAGCGAAAATTACCGAGTCTAATATGCATTAGATAGCGTTTCAAACAATTTAATCAATGAACTGTATTCAAATTTGCGTGAAAAAAGTCACAAGTACCGAATTTTTTTTAAGAAATATAAAACCCCTTTCTTCAGTCTCGAAAAGTTCTTGTTCTATTACTACGCGAGTTTGGAATCTCGTCTCGATGGTGGTGAAGCGATGCCTTGGCAAAGCTTTGAAGAGGTCAACATAAAACTTTCGAAAAACAGTACACTTGATTCTAAACTAACATTTTTTAGTTCAAAAACAAGTACGAAACCGCCTATGGCTACATGTGCGGTTTAATATGGCCGATGACGTGGATGATCGATTTGGAGAAATCGTGCACACGTGAGTTTTTTAGATAAAATAATAGTGAACTTGTAAAAGTATTAAGCGCTAGATATGGATCTAGACATGGGAAAATTTCAGCCTGAACCTAATTCCAACTTTGTTTTCTTGGCCTTTTCTTGGCCGATTGCTCTGAAATTTTGTTTACAAATAGAAATTGGCATTCTCTGCTTGTAGATATTCTCTGCTTATAGACATTCTCATTCTCATTCTCATTCTCATCGCATTCTCAGAACAATTGGCCAAGAGAAGACTGACTGAACTATCAAAGTTCAGTCAGCCGTCTCTTGGCCAACTATCAAAGTTCAGTCAGAAACAGAAATAAAAGTGGAGGATATAAAATAAACATGGGCACTATAAACTACAAAAATGACAAACTGCTACACTACAAACGCTTCTAAATTGCTTCACACCTGTCGACTTGATATGATCTATAGCTTAAAAATAGAGAATCTCAAGAGCTTTTAAATGGACTAAAGCATACCCAAAAATATAAATGCTAAAGAAAGTTACAGTGTTTTGTAGTCCTCACTCAAAACTATTTAAAACCATTATGCCTTTCCTTTTAACTTCATTGTCTTCTATGATTCAAAATCTCTTATCTTCACTCTTCTCTACGTAGTTTCGAGACTGAAGAACGGGCATTATACGTCAAATTTCATTTTCTTTTCGTTGTTAACTGTTCAGGCAGCCACACTGAGTCATCGCTAAAAATAAACTTATTGAGTGATAAAGATTGAATTAGGATTTGAATTGACTATGATTTCTGAAGTGTTCCCAGCTGCGAAATCAATGAATGAATAATACCAACTAAACTTATAGGATTATAGGTCCAGATCCGGGTCGGTAGAAAGCTAAATATCCAGGTTAAGCCAAGCCAATGTCATGGTTTTAAGCCAAACTTGGCCAAATTCAATATTAAATTTGAAATTCCAGTCCTAGACCAAATGAAAGCCATTGACTTTGACTTGGCTTTTGGCTTTTTTACAAACCTTGGTCCAGATCACAGTGGCGGTCGCAGTGGGGAGGGATCTGAATGAACTCTTTTGGCAGGGAAACATCTGGCCGCGTGGCGCAATGGATAACGCGTCTGCCTACGGAGCAGAAGATTGAAGGTTCGAATCCTTCTGTGGTCGAAACTTTTTGATTTTTCCGGCGATCAAATTCTTGAACAATTGTATCAAAACTGTTGAACATTGTCCAATATAGTCAACAGTTTCCATTATCCCATTTCATCACTGTTTGCCGTTCTACCGTAAACATCGATTAAGTTGTTGATCATCTCTTTCACTTTGCATAAGCAGTAGCACATAAAACAATTAGAATTTGTTAATGATTGTTTACAATTGGTTTTGAAACTTTTAAGGGATCAGCACAGAAATTGCTCAATAGGTCACTGTTTTCTCAAAAGAAATTAAGATTCCTTATATTGCATCACTTTCCGTTTTTTTGATCTCTCAGTTGATAAATAGTGGTAATAAGAGTACGTGAATCAACTTTTCGGCTGAGAATTCTTTCTTGTTCATTACAAGCAAGGCTTTTTTTGTTAGGCATTTCATTACATTCAACGACAACCATTGACTTTGACTTGGTTTTTGGCTTTTTTACAAACCTTGGTCCAGATCACAGTGGCTCCTTTGTCTTGGGGGGATGTGAATGAACTCTTTTGGCACGCAAGCATCTGGCCGCATGGCGCAATGGATAACGCTAGTCCTCACCCAAAACTATTTAAGATAATAATACTTTTCCTTTTAACTTCATTGTCTTATATGATTCAAAATCTCTTATCTTCACTCTTCTCGCGCTCGAGTCAGGCTAAAAGCCACTGTAACTTTTTTAGCATTTATATTTTTGAGTGTGCTTTAATCCATTCGAAAGGTCTTGAGATTCTCTATTTCTTTAGCTATAGATCATGTCAATCCGACAGATTTGAAGCAAGTTAGAAGAGTTTGCCGTTTACGTTGATAGTTTGTAGTGCCTATGCCTACAAATAACACAGCAAATATTCAGCTGCCGAACTCGAAGAATGTAAAGCAAATTTCAATGCAAAAATCCGTCTCATGGCTCGAGAATCGAACCGATTTATTGAAAAACATATCTTGACAAAATTGTAATCAAATTTCTGAATAAACTTTAAATTTCACAATCTAATGCAAAGCTTAAATTAGTTTAAACAAAGTTTAGCTTACAAAAACAAGAAAATTTATTGTTTCTATGATACAGTCGGCAAAAAAAGACATTATCAGAGACAGCCGGTTTAGAAAGCAAAAAAAGTCTTGCACCATTGTTGTATTCTGTTGTTTACTATGGTATAGACGACATTTAATGCCTTCTCCGTTTGTACCTACAGAGACGATTCAACGACAATTCCACGACTGCAGAAAAAAGACAAATGAGGGAACCCCCTGAAAATTCGTCATTTTACATGCAAATTGATTGTTTTTGAGTCACTAAAAGTCACTAAAAGTCAGACTCACTTACTAAAAGTACAAACGGAGAAGGCATACCAGTAACCATAGTATACCATAGTAAACAACGGAATTTTCAGGGGTTCCCTCATTTGTCTTTTTTTCTGCAGTCGTGGAATTGTCGTTGAATCTTCTCTGTAGGTCTTTTTCTCTGCAGTCGTTGATTTTTAATCCAAAGTGTTACATATGAAAATGTTCATTGAAATGTCGACTAAAACACGGCGTACATCCCAAAATTATAGGATCTACGGCTTGCGATATTTTGGGGCTGCAAGCCATCCCATCCCATTTTCCTTTATAATTGGGGTATAGTGATCTCAAAAACTAAAAGAGCTAGAGACAAACGGTTTTCAGATTTAAATTCAGCATGGTCGAGTTACTAAAAGTACAAACGGAGAAGGCATTAAATGTCGTCTATACCATAGTAAACAACAGAATACAACAATGGTGCAAGACTTTTTTTGCCGACTGTATAAAAGCTCACAATTTATTAGGTTGTCAACAATGAAACCGGAATTCTTAGACATTTAATTTTTGAGAGTATAGGAAAAGTTTATATCGACTGTTATACATTTTTGAAATGCTATCGAAGACTTCATCGCCTCTAGACAGCTCTAGACGCCTCTAGACGACTTTTTTTGCCACAAAGATCGAAAAACTGGGTACTCGTTGGCTGTTATTTTTGATTATTTTGATTAATTTGATTGTTCTTCAATAAAAAAATTTACAATTGAACATCATTAAGAAAAGCGCCTTTGTTTTTTGGAGTACCTAACATAGAGCTCGCATTTACAATGATTCATTGGATTGCGATAAAAGAATAGTTGACGAGAGCTGAGTGATGGCAACAAAGGAATGAATAGTCAACAGTTTCCATTGTCCCATTTCATCACTGTTTGTCGTTCCATCGTAAACATCGATTAAGATCTTGATCATGTGAGCAAGCCAGAAAATTATCTGAATTGATTAAATTAACATTCGTCTGATATTATTGGGTTGGTGAATTGAAAACTGCGGGCTATTGTCATATGTGACAGTTTGAGCACTTTCTTCAAAAGAAACCCATTTTGGTGTCAATGGAAAAGTTGTAGAGAATCAAAAATTAAGCTTATATCCAAATTTTCAGAACGATTCAAAAACTGGTTTTCAAGAAATGCTAAATTTACGAATTTTCACAAAACTTGCATTTTAAGCGAAACTACTAAGTGTATCTTTTTTGGAAATTTGGCTATAAGCCTAATTTTTGATTCTCTACAACTTTTCTATTGACACCAAAATGGGTTTCTTTTGAAGAAAGTGCTCAAACTGGGACATCTCCAGTTCTTCATTTCTGAGTCTCACACTTGTCTCACACACAAACCAAAATCCTACTACGAAAGAGGAATCCGCAAATTGCCTGTAAAATGGGCAGAAGTCGTCAATAATAATCGAAATTATTTGGAATGAATTGATAGTTTTATGTTGAATAAATTTTAGTTCAAAGTCCGGCAGTTTTCAATTCACGAATTCAATAGATTTCAGAAACTATCAAGAACTGTAAAAGCTTCAATCCCTCATCTCACAAGGGAATGTCAACTGGATGTGGTGGACAAATGACATCGATGTTGTCGTCAGTTTTCAAGTTTTCAATTCACCAACCCAACAGCTATGCATCTCATATTTCTTTCTAAGAATAGACCCTCCAAGTCAAAGATCGTTCTCATCCACGACAACGCGCGCCCTCATGTTGCAAAACTGACTCGCTCTAAAATAAATAGCCTTGTTTGGGAACTTTTGGCGCATTCCCCATACAGTCCGGACCTCGCGCCTTTTGATTACTATTTATTCCGGAGCATGAGTAATGAGCTTGCGGGAGAACACTTCGATTCGGAAGAAGCAGTCAAAAATTGGCTTTGAAAGTTTTTCTATTCCAAACCAAAATCCTAGTACGAAAGAGGAATCCGCAAATTGCCTGTAAAATGGGCAGAAGTCGTCAATAATAATGGAAATTATTTGGAATGAATTCATGGTTTTATGTTGAATAAACTCTAGTTCAAAGTCCAGTCGTTTTCAATTCACCAATTCAATAGTACTGTTATGTTACTTACCGCATTGTAACCGTAAAAGTTGATCCACTCTTGGTGCCCAGATTTGTATCCATAAAAACAGCCGACAATTGAGATAAAAGTTGCAAGAAAATGGAACAAGATTATGGGGATCTGAATGGTTTTTCAGCTTTGGATTGAACTTTTTTGTTAGACTTTCCCACCTCAATCGTTCCAATTAGATTTAGATTCATAAAAAAGACGCATGCTGATTTCACTGATCAAGATTGACGAGGCACCGAAAAGAGCAAGACCAATCTGAAAATTTTACAACAGTTTTGTAAATGATTTATTAAAGTTTCCAAAACTTTCCACCTTTCTCGATTACTCGTACCAGCAACTGTGGGATGATCAAAACCGGTACGTATTTTAAATTTAAAATAACGAATGTCACAGATTCAAACCTTTTTTCATCGAATCATACGTTTTAAAGACAATTTTACTTTATAACGCTTGCATTTAGAATAGTTAAAATGTACATATTTGAGAGGCTAAACTGTAAGCTGTTTCCTCAAAATCCCCTCAATTTTTGCCGCCGACCATCTCAATAAAAAAATGAAGGAATTGGCAAGAAAAACCAGATTTCCAGAGAGCGGATTGAACCATCGATCTTTTGCTTTCCGGCCAATGACTCTAACCATTAAGCTAGCCGATACCTTAACTTGCCAAGGAAAAGAGGGAAAGACAAAGGGGAAGAAGAAAGGAAGAAAGAAAGAAGCAAAGTAATCGCAAAGAGAAAGCGACAAAATGAAGACAAAAACCGAATTGCTAAAGAATCCAGTTATTCGGAGGAGTTATTCGGATTTTCTAGGAGCCCAAACAATATCTAAAGCTTCACATTAGTGAACTTTAATTCCAATTGGAGTCCCAGGGGCAAAAACCGATGAATCCCATTCCCACTAGGATGAAAGAAATCATTGTCAAAGAAGTCGGGGTTATTTTGGAAAAAGAGCACAATGCCGGTAATGACACAAGCTGGGAGAATGAACATGAAAATGAGAATGCAAAGAGAATGCACATGTTACGGTAAGAACGATCTATGCACTGTACAGTCATAAAGAAGTGAAGGAATTGACAAGAAAAACTAGATTTCTGGAGAGCGGATTGAACCATAGATCTTTTGCTTTCCGGCCAATGACTCTAACCATTAAGCTATCTGATACCTTAGCTTGCCAAGAGAAAGAGGGAAAGACAAGGGGGAAGAAGAAAAGAAAGGAAAGGAAGAAAGAAAGAAAGAATTATCCACATGCGCGTTTTCCGGAAAAACCAATATCTTTCATAATGTTTCTACTGTCAAAAGATAAGCTCAGTTTCCCCAACAGAGAAAATGAACCGAAAATTCATTTTTTTAAGCCATTCCTCGGCGACTTTTGATCAAGCCGCTAAATCCATTTTTTTCTCAACTCAAAAACGGTTAAAGATTCCTCAATTCTGCCGAGGTTGATTACATATTTCCTCCAAAAATCAGGACATCGGGAGGAGGCGGGCGGAGGAAATAATAGAGTGAGTTTTAAGAGATCAAAAATACCAAAAAGGATTGACAAAAGAATTGATTACGATGGATTTTAGACCACTTTTAGATATTTTAGATCTTTTTAGATTTAAATTTGAATATTTGAATGAACTTTATTCTATTTCTCACCCATCGTCTCTTGTCGGCGAATTCAAGTTGATTAATTGTGGGCCCTTCAGGGGGATTTCTCGTTAGACATCTCAATTTGGATAGTTTAAATTAATATTATTAATAAGCAATACAAAAATAAAGAACTTTTGTGGTCAATAAAATTTAAAAGAAGTCAATAAGTTTTTTTGTTTAGTCTTCACCGCTTATGAATCAACATTTTTCATTCTCAGTTTAATAACATGATTGTGAAATCAAGAATTTAAGCGTTAAAGTGCTAGTGAACTTGTTTTTCGTGAATTCTTTGAAAAAAGAAGAAAAATAAATCGAGTTGAGGGATTGTTGCGAAAAAATCAAAGAAAAATCACCACTTTCTCTCATACAAGCCTCTCGCTCGGATCGAAATATTCACGAATAGGTCTAGATATGCTGCGTACTTAAAGGATTAATTGCCTACTTAGATTCATACAAATATGGTGCCTGGCCAGCTACTCCAGTAGAATAGTGACCTAAAACTTTGAAAGGGAATCGATGATGAACTGGAAAGTGAAAGTTTCCGGGATACCGTTTTGGGTTTCCGGGATACCTTTCCATATCGTTTTCCATTAATAATGTTTTTCTAAGACACCGCCATATTCTCCTGATTGCAATCCGATTGAACATTTGTGAGCTCATGTAAAACGAGGATATCGATTTACCTCAAAAGATGAGCTTTGGGATAAAGTAAAAGAAATTTGAAAGTTGATCCCAGTGCCGACGCTCGAGAAATTAGTTGCAAGCATGCCGAAATGAAACGAATGAAGGCAAACATTAAAGCTTGAGATGGCTCAACAAAATATTGAATTCTTCTTTTTTTTCGATAGGGGCTCAATACTTTTTCCATCGGTTTTTTCAATATGGTGTCTGGGCGGCTTTTCCAGTAGAATAGCGAACCAAAACTTTGATACATATGTATTAGGTTGGTTGCGTGTTTGCTTGTTTGCTAAACTTGTTTGCTAAATGTCGGAATGCAAAGCTGTAGGTCGATGGTTTGATTCCCATTAAGGTTTTCTTTTGAAAAGCTGTTTTATAGTGTTCTCTAATCCACCTTCTCTTCGTAATTGCTAAATATTCAAAAATTTTATTCTAATCTTTCTAATCTTATCGCGAGCACGCAAGCGTTTTAGCCAGGTCAGAAATCTGATCAATCAAAATGCTAAATTCCTTGCGATTCCTATCTATTTAGCAAAAAAACGAGCAACAGATTCGGAATCAGAGTCAAATTCTGCATCGGATGGTCTAGGTCTCATTTCGATTGGCCACCTTGATTTCGTGACCTTGTTAGTATACAATTTTTGACTTGTTAGTATACAATCAGGCTTTAGCTCTACGCAACGCTGTTGACCAAACAATCCATCAACCAGCACTCACAGGCTCTCCGCTGAACTGGATATTCCTCAAACATCAGTTATCCGGCACCTTCACACCCTTGGAAAGATCAACAAAAGCTGCCGAGAAGTGGCACATGATTTAACGGAAAATCAAGCTCAAAATCGTGTAGACACTTGCCGAAAACTGCTGGAAAATCCGAACGATGACCGCTTTATTCGCTGAATTGTGACTTGTGATGAAAAGTGGGTCTATTTTAGTAATCCGGACAAGTAAAGGGCCGGAAAATTCGCACCTTCTTCTTTTCATCAAATTTTTATTACATAAATCATGTCTGATCGCCTACCGTATATGAGCAACATTATCCCCAATGTCCATCTCATCTTCTCTCAAAAGCCGCAACTCTTTTCCGCTCGCTCATCTTTTTGCGTGTTCGATCGACGAGCGGTAAAATAATTGCAAATACGCGATCCGACAGACAAAAAGCCTTTCTCTTTGGTTTTTTGTCACCGAAAAACAAAACTTCCTCGTGGTGACCGAAATTCGAGGTGTCAAAGAGTTTCACAGTTTGTGAAATAGTCCCCTAATTGGTCATATCGATCAAATTCGACCACCAATTGACGAAAAGAGGCAGACAAGTGAGTTGTAGACGGATAAGACTCAAATGATCAAAATCCTGGCTGTACTGACTCTACTGACTAGGGTTTGGTTCTTGTCTGACTAGAAAATTTTTGATCTTTATTGTGAAACTTTGTCATTATTTTTATTATTGTCATTAACAGGGCAACTTGTGAATTTCTGTTTCATTTTTTGAAAAAACTCTTTTGAATCTCTTGGCGGATTTTTAACTTCTGAATTCTTCTGAATTTCTGAACTTCTGAAGACTTCTGAATTTTGTGAGCAAAGTTTGCAAAGCAAAGCAAAACCAGGCAAGACAAAGCCAGGCAAGACAAAGCCAGGCAAGACAAAGCCAGGCAAGGCAAAGCCAGGCATGGCAAAGCCAGGCAAGACAAAGCCAGGCAAGGCAAAGCCAGACAAGACAAAGCCAGGCAAGACAAAGCCAGACAAGGCAAAGCCAGGCAAGACAAAGCCAGGCAAGACAAAGCAAAGCCAGGAAGGGTCAGCTTTATTAAGACTCTGGTCTGGTCTTAAAAGTTACTTTTGAAAGCTTTAATTATAAGCTCTTTATTCTATTTTAAAACAGAAATCCGGCAGCTGCCAAAATCTTTTTGAAGATATTGTAGAATTCTCAAAAATTGCCTCTACTTCAACTAAAAGTCAACGAAAACAAATGTGTCAAAACTCAAACGATTATTACTATTTTAAAAAACAGGTTCTTTAAGTAGATTTTTAATTTATTTTGCCAAAAAGCTTTACCTGGTATAAATTCTGTACTTGCATTGTTAGAGGAGTGTAAATCGGCAAACCGGCTTCGATTTTATTGATTTATTATAGCTTTTTGTTTCTCTAAACAAAACAAAACAAATAGTTCTTTATTAAAAAGTTTTATTTTATTAAAAGCCTCAAAGTAGAAATACAATTCTCGTTTTTGTTGATTTCCTTCACTCTGCAACTAGCCAAACGATTTTTGCAACTTTCCATCATTTACCGTCCATTATCACTTCGAAAAAAACAGAAAAGACTCAGAGTTGCGACGACGAATCACCAAAAAGCCGCCGCAGTATAATAAGACACCAGAAATACCGTACCCCAAACAATGTCGCGGTCAAACGCGTATAAAAGGACGCCTTCTTCCGCATTTAGTCAGAATTTTCTCTTATTTTGGTCTTGTGAAAATTGTTTTCTTTTGTTCGAGATACTTCCACAATTTTCATCAAAGTGATTCCTTTTTGTCTCTGGGTCAACACATTGTTTCTTGGAGTTTCGTTGAAAAATTTTTCAGCCATCAGAAAGCCGCTTCCCCTTACTTGTATTGAATAAACTTGGTTTTCTTATTCATTCAAGCAAAAGCGCACAGGTCTAGCCATGTCTAGTGAATTCAAGGAAAAGCTAGTAATTCGTAATGTTAGATTGTTCGAGAAGTGTAAATCGGCAAACTGGCTCCGATTTTATCGATTTATTATAGTTTCGTGTTTCTCTAAACAAAACAAAACAAATAGTTCTTTATTAAAAGCCTCAAAGTATAAATACAATTCTCGTTTTTGTTGATTTCCTTCACTCTGCAACTAGCCAAACGATTTTTGCAACTTTCCATCATTTACCGCCTAAATCGCTTCGAAAAAAGCTGGACTTTGATGCTAAAATTGCGCTTGAAATCTATTTTCAGTAAAAAGTAAATATAGGTATTGGCCGGCTTTCAATCGATGGATTGGGCCGTTCATCTGGGACTCTTGGTCCTACTCATCGGCTTGGGCACACGGGCACAACCAGGTAAGTTTTCATTAAGAAAATAACTCCTCAAATTTCCATTTTCACTTAAAAACTTGCGTATATATAGATTTAAATTAAGAATGCTAATAACTGACAATGAGTAGAAAATCAGTTAGACATTTCCTTCTTAAAAACGTTTTTCCAACTCTTAGATGCTCCCTGCTCCACTATGGGATTCTCTTGTCAGCCAATTGTCTACAACGCTGACACGGACACGTCAACCGGCAAATTTGGCGGCTATTTTCAGACGGCTGACGATTGTTGCCAGTTATGCACTCACAATTACGGTCTCCTACCGTGCCTGGGATTCTCTTTTTGGAGTGGATCAGCGAGAGGAGCTTGCTATATTTATCAATATGATTATCAGGTGAGTGAGTAGTAAATTTTATTAGAATAACGCTACTATTTCGTAGCTAAGTAAAGTCAAGGCTGAGTCTAAGAATTTAAGTAGACTAGTAAGGCATAAGATCCTACCCTGGCGGCAATGCAATGTCGGTGTAGCTCATTGGTAGAGCTTTCGCCCGGTAAGCGTGAGGTCACGGGTTCGAATCTCGGCGCCGAGCATGGCCCCAACCCATAAAATGATCGTAAATCGACTTTTCGGCACACTTTCGGCGTGACCAACTGACTAATATTAGGTTGAGTACTAACTAGGGAAAGGCATGAACTTACCGTGGCCTTTTGCCTATGAGACCGACTCCATCTTATAGATTTGACGATGGGGATTCCGAATCTGCTCTTAGTTTTTGCCGAGGACTTCGGAAACGCGAGATATTTAGCTTACAAGCTTTTGGTATACAAGATTTTAGCCCTATAAACGCATATTTTCTGCCTGTTAACTGTGGGCTGGTGGCCGGGTGGATAGGAGGCTGGAATACAAGATGACCTACGCGCTTTTGCCATAGGTTCGACTCCCCTTGACGATTTTCCTTTTGAACTTGACCTAAAAATTGTTTATATGGCATTTAAAATGTTATAGAATCGTAAATATATATAAGTAAATCAGAGTTGACGAGTGACTAGACTAAAATACAAAATTTTAGCAATTGGAACAATGGATGCATGTTTTTCCCGCGCTTTTGCATCCATGCTTTTAGAAATAACTTCCGATGACAAGCAGTATGGCAGAGTTAGAATTGAACCAGAGTTAAAATTGAATTGACAAGCAGAGTTAGAATTGAACAAATTAAGAATTAAGCAAAAAGCAGCAAAAGGAAAATCATCAAGGGGAGTCGAACCTATGGCAAAGATGTTTAGATCATTTTGTATTCCAGCCTCCGATCCACTTGACCACCAGTCCACATTAAGTAGGCGAGAACAATGCTTTTTATCGGGATGCTAAAATCTTGTAAGCTAAATATCTCGCTTTTCCGGAGTCCTGGGCAAAAACTAAAAGCAGATTCGGAATCTTCACAGTCGAATCTATAAGATGGAGTTGGTCACATAGGAAAAGGCCACGGTAAGTTCATGCCTTTCTCTAGTAAGTCTTTACCCATTTGTTTCATTAGCTAAATGAATGAGTCTCAAACTACCAAATTTTGGCTTTGGTTTGGCTTAATAGTCTGGCTTAATAGTTTGAGTTCAATGAAACTATAGTGTTCTGGTAGTTGGTGAATTGGGTAATTATTTAGTTAGTTATTCCATTAACTCTGAACATTCTTTCAATTTACAATGAAATAAAGTTTTAAGAAAATTTTCAGCTTACAAATGTCGACAGCACAACTCCCGACAAAAGCAATGCAACCATCTACAAGAACTGTCAGTCCTACACCACGAATTGGCCGATAATCGTGTTTGTTTTACAGATTTTCTAAAGATTGAGTTGCTTTGATGTGAGTCCAATCAAATTATAAGCTTACTGAATTGTTGAAGTCAAATTGTTAATTGTTTTGTTAATCATTTGGAAATTGGAAATTTTCAGAAACTCAACCACTCCATTTGTCACCACAACACCACAAAGCACGACAACAATGGGGTAGCTTTGTCATTCGATTTAACAAATCGCTAACAGATTTCAGTATCACTACGACAACAGTCGGCAATCAAAATACGAGAACGACGATTGGAACTACAACTGGAAATGTATCGTGTAAGTTGATGTTAATAGTTTTGAACAAAGATCAACTTTTTGTTGATCAGCAAAGATCAATCAGAAGCCAGGAAGCTCTTTGGCTTAGCTCAAAACTAAAAAGTACCACTAAAAGTCAGACCTGATCTTGCTTCAAGCAATTCCAAATACTTTTGACCTGCTGGCTCGGCTCTGGCCTGCTGGCTCGGCTCTGGCCTGCTGGCTCGGCTCTGGCCTGCTGGCTCGGCTCTGGCCTGCTGGCCCGGCTCTGGCCTGCTGGCTAGGCTCTAGCCTGCTGGCCCAGCTCTAGCCTGCTGGCCCAGCTCTAGCCTGCTATACATCTTGTTGAGAACTTTTTGAACTCTCGAATCATTTCGTCATTATTAGATTCTCAGACTTGATGTTGCATGAGCTGTTTTTAAATCTTTACTGACAAAACTGATAAATGAAGTATGCTGTACGTGCGGTAGTGTACTAAGAACGAAAATTTTTAGTATGCACGGGTCTTTCGTCAGATGTGCCAGGATATGACATTGTTGTCATCAACGCGGATATTTCTCAGAGTTACGGTCGTTTTGGTGGCTACTTTTTCTCTGCTGTTGACTGCTCGCAATTGTGTACCTGGGATCACGGGAATATTGGGTGCTCTGGGTAAATGTTTGTTTTGAAAAGAAAAATGTTTCGTTGATAAAGTATGCGTAGTGTACTAGGAACGAAAAACAATGGAAAGGCACTCTTTCTTGGTGCGCTTGATGAGTTTTATGCCGTGAGAGTGCGCTAGAATGGGTGTGTTTCCATTTTAAAGCACAAAATAGGGTACAGAAAACTTGAATTGCCTCTTTTTGGAACACTCTATAGTTCAGCATCTATAGAAACTATTTCTAGTTTCGCGTTCACTCCTAATCCAATGGGTGGCCGAGGAAATTGTACAGTTTTTCAACAAAACTGGCAAGAGTGGAAGCCTGTGAAAACGTGGGCGCTCAATCGAGTAATACGACTGTTTACGCGTTTTGTACATTGAGCGAAACGACCACAACAACAATTGGGTGCGTTTTGAAATGAAAGGCTTTGTGTTCCGGGTTTTGAGTTCAATGAAACTATAGTGTTGTGGTAGTTGGTGAATTGGGTAATTATTTAGTTAGTTATTCATCTTGTTTCACTAAAATAGCTAAGTTCAATGGAAATTTGCTAGTTCTATGCAAATAAACTTTCTTTAGACTTTCGACAATTCACTGGCTAACCACGACAACAAGTCCCACAACTACAACTTTCAGCACAACTACAACAGACTCCACAACTACCACAACAAGTACTACCACCACCTCGTAAGTCTTTTCAAGTTACCAAGAACCTCACCATTTTGATCTAATAAGTTGATCAGTCTAATAAGTTGTATCTAACAATTATAGAGTATTTATTCAAGTGCTTGTTCTAGAACTCCCACTACGACCACAACTTTACTCACGATTATCTCAACAACAACAACAACCCAGCCACCGAATCCAATCACGACGGCAGCTGGAAGTGGGTTCTAGGAGCTGGCTATCTTAACAAGATAATAAAAACTATCGAAAAATCCACATATCTGATATCTCATTATTTAGCACTCTTGTCTTACACGGTTTCTGATTGAATCTATTTTAAATCCATAGCCTACATAAAACTATAAGTAACCGTCTTCATGAATCTAAGGCTCAGAACTAGTAGAATTGTATCTCAAAAGCCTGATTCTAAATTCAGCTTGTCCAAATGGCTACCGGTGGGAAACTGGTAACTTTGATGACTCGGCGGTGGCTCAAGGGAAATTTGTTGGTTATCTCAACTACATCGATTCATGTTACGAGTCTTGCCGCATAGCTTATGGCTTGCCACAATGCGTGGTAGGTTTTAGAAAATAAATGAAAACCACAAAAACTTCAGGGGTTCACTTACGAGCCACAGGAGAGGGGGAGATGTTATGTTTATTCGGATCTACCTGCTGGGACACCGATTGATTCTTCAAAACAACTAGATCTCTATTTGATGTGTAATCAAAGTGATAGCCAGGTAGAGAAGTGGGAAGTGATGAGTAGCTTTGTTGGGTTTTAGACGAGCACTACGAGCACTACGACCACAACTACGACGGTGGACACAACTACAACTACTCCAACAACCACATCGACTTTAACAACTACCAGAACAAGTCCAACTACAACAACGATAACAACTACGATGGTGGATACAACTACAACCACTCCAATAACAACTACAACAACTACATCGACTACAACAACGATCAGAACAAGTCCAACTACAACAATGACAACAACTACCTCAACGATCCCTACGACAACAACGCCAACAACTACTACGTCAACAAAAATAATCACCAAAACTACGACTACAACCCCATCAACTAGTTCTTCAAAAACCAGTAGCGGTATTACTACTACAACAGCTGGAGCCACGGCAACAGAAACTTCATCTACTGAAGGAAACACTGCGACATCGGAGGATACAACTAATGCTCAAACAACAACTCCTGCTTCAACTTCTGATTCTTCAGTGGCTTCAGAGTCGGCAACGTCGACTGATGCCACGCAAATTACAACAACGATGTCTGAAGTTACTTCAAGTGCAACCGAAGCTATAGCAGCTTCAACAACAGTTGAATCAACTACTGATATGACAAGTCAAGCAACTGAAGCTAGAACTGGAACGTCGGAACAAACCACAACCGGATCCGTAACAACTGAATTGGCCACTTCAGTAACTAGTGGAATTACCACTGTAGCTGAAACAACTGAAAGTCCAACTACAGCTGGGGTGACTTCTGAAAGTGCGACAACTGGGGCATCAACATCGGAAATTTCCACGACAGAGATGACATCTTCAGGATCAACATCTGAACTCACAACTGAGGTTACAACGGCAGTTATGGCATCTACAACGGGTACAACAACGGGTGCTACCACGGAAGTAACGGAAAACTCAAGTTCCACAGCTGGTCTGACATCTGCGGATACAACAATAGAAGCCTCTACTGAACCAACAACTGTCGCGACTTCAACTGCTAATCCTAGCACAATAGCAGCTAGTCTTACAACAACGATGCAAGAAACAAGTACCGGAGTTGAGACAACGACAGCTGGTTCCTCTACAATGTCAACATCATCAAGTATGACGCAAGCAACAACACAAGAAAGTACAACTGCAACAACTGGTGGAACGACGGAGATATTGACGACAACAAGTGAACAAACAACGACAATTGATTCACTAACAACCAATGCAATGACCACAACTGAAACGACAACAGCAGGAAGCACAACTGAAGTCCTAACAACAAACCCTTTGACCACAGCACTGAGCTCAACAACTGCAGAGACAACGACGTTGACTACAACTGCAAGTTTGACTACAACAACCCAACTTGCGAGTACGACAGTAGAGACGGCAGAATCAACCACCTTGACGACGACCGAGCTATCCACTACAACCGGAACAACAACTGAAGGCACAACAACAGAGAGCATGACATCTACAGGTGAAACTTCAGTTACTGGTCTGTCTACTACAGCTTCGCCGTTGACTACCACAACCGATCTTCCAGCTACAACAACTGAAGTGCCAACAACAAGTGGAACAACCACTGAAGGCACAACCTCTATAGGTGAATCTACGACAACTGATTTTACGACTACAACAGTCGCTGCGACCACTACAACCGAAATACCAACAACAACAAAATCTATAACATTTACGAGTGAATCTACTACTGTCTTTTCTACTACAACTGAACCTTTGTCTACCACAATCGACCCAACAACAGAGCTTCCCACCACAAGCCCTTCCTCTCCAACCGATGCTCCAAGTACGACAACGGAAGTATCAACAACAACGACAGAAGTTACAACACCTACAAGTGAACCTACAACTACTGGTCTGTCTACTACAGCTGCTCCTTTGACTACCACAACCGACCATACGACTACAACAATAGAGCTTGCAACCACAGGCTTCTCCACTACAACCGATGCTCCAAGTACGACAACGGAAGTACCAACAACAACCACAGAAGTTACAACATCTACAAGTGAATCTACAACTACTGTGCTTTCTACTACAGCTGAGCCGTTGACTACCACAACCGCTCTTCCAACTACAACAACAGAGCCTGCGACCACAAGCTTTACCACTACAACGGATTCTCCTACTACGACAACCGAAATGCCAACAACAATCGATACAACATCTACAAGTGCAGCTACAACTACTGAGCTTTCTACCACAACAACTGATTCTCCAACTACAATAACGGAAGTGCTAACAACAAGTACAACAACAGAAATCACAACCTCGACCTCGGTGCCCACAACGACAACGGAACAGCCTACAACAACTACGGCAGAAACGACTACTGAAGCAACTACTACTACAACCACGACAACAACAACAACAACAACAACAACAACAACAACAACTACTACTACCACGACAACAACAACGACAACAACAACGACAACAACAACGACAACAACAACAACAACAACAACAACAACAACAACAACAACAACAACAACAACAACAACAACAACAACAACAACAACAACAACAACAACAACAACAACTACTACTACTACTACCACGACAACTACGACAACGACAACAACAACGACAACAACAACGACTACAACAACAACAACAACTACTACTACTACTACTACTACCACGACAACTACGACAACGACAACAACAACGACAACAACAACGACTACAACAACAACAACAACAACTACTACTACTACTACTACCACGACAACTACGACAACGACAACAACAACGACTACAACAACTACAACGACTACAACAACTACGACCACAACGACTACAACGACAACAACAACAACAACTACAACTGTCATCACAACTACCTTACCTCGTATGTCATTTGCCTTTCTCATCCCTGAAAGTCTCGTTATTTAGCCTGCCTCTGCTCCAACATCATTCTGGCCCCACCGTTTGGAGCAGTTCCCAATAATACTCCTAACGCGTAAAGTATTTCCCTCAACTTGGTATGCCCAAACTTTAGATGCAATGTCGTCACGGGACTTGTCGGGTGCATTAGTACGAGCACGTATCCTAAAAAGGATCAAGACGTTATGCATTATTGGCTCTATGACGAGGTGAGATATTGGCTTCAGCGTTGAGGCAAATTTTTTACCGAGAAAATAGTGATACCCAAAACCGTTCAAATTTTCATTTTTTTCGCTTCCAGAACGGTAACGTGGTCTTTGACTCGGGTGACTATTGTTCGGGTGATGTGTACAGAGTTGCGACGACCTGTGATTGTCGGACATTGGTCATTCCAGGCAACACCATCAATTCAATCTATTGTCTTGTGTGTTAAAGCAAAAGCTATTGTAATCTGCCCGCTAGTTTTCATTCAATCACCTCAATTTTGGTGTCATTCGATGAGGAATCACAGGATTTAGCCAATGATATCAAAATTGAGCTGATTAGATGTAAATTTGCCAGTTTCATTACGGTAATTTGTTTAAAATAGAAGAAAAAGCTTTTAGCTTTTTGCTTTTAGAAAAAGGATTATTATTAAAAGATCAAAAGTCGTTTAATTTCAGGGAATCAAAACGCCTTATTGGAATTGCACAAATTCTGGATTAATGGGAAACAAATGCGCAGCGTTTGGATAAAATCATTTTTTTTGCCTGTCCTTGCAATAAATTATGTTACAGTGTCGGTTAATAAAAGGTATTTGATGTGACGATCACGAGATAACGATTTTTATTAAAGAAAAAGCTTTCCTTGACTAGAATTGACCTTTCTAGAAGACCTTTCTAGAATGGACCTTTCTAGAAAGGCCTTTCTAGAATTGACCTTTCTAGGATGGCCTTTCTAGAATGACCTTTCTAGAATGGACCTTTCTAGAATTGACATTTCTAAAATGACCTTTCTAGAATGACCTTTCTAGAATGGACCTTTCTAGAGGGCCTTTCTAGAAGACCTTTCTAGAATAGACCTTTCTTGTCAAAACATGACTTTTTAAGCTAAAGAAAAGTGATAAATGGCCTCTAATTTGTCATAAATATCCAGCGTTTTGTTTCATTTGCAGAAATTCAACCTTACAATAGTTTTAAAACTTATCAAGCTTATCTTCTTAATAAATTTCTTTCTATTCTTTCGGTTCTTTCTATTCTATTGAAATTTCCAATCAACAAATTAGTCTCACTGCTCTTGTAATATGTTTCCCTTCTTCTCTTATTCCAAATTATGAGACTAGACTTATAGTTTTTGATTTAAAACTCCTTTTATATCGCCGTATTTACTTTGATCTGATTTTCTGCTATAAAATCCTTTTCCACCCTAAGGCGCATCCGGAATTTCAAAGTCTCTTGAAAATTGTGGAAAGTCCTAGAAGAACCCGTAGTCATCCTTATCAAATTTCGGTCGGTTCTCATCCCCACCACCTTCCCCTTTATCATTCTTTCGCGAACCGTATTAGTAGGGTTTGGAATAAGCTCCCACCTGGTATCTTCTCGTCTGTAGGAAAATTCAAAGTATCTGTAAACGAATTAGATCTAATTGCCATGTCAAATCTGCCTCATATTTAATCTTTTTGTACTTTTGGTTTCCTAACTGTAGTCTTACTGTACTATTTTTAGTTTTCTTTCTTTTTTGTGAAAGTATTGTAGCAATTATATGCGGTTATGATTATCTGATTCGCTTCTATTCGCCCTCCTGAATAAAGCATATATATAAATATCTTGTAGAGTTTCGTCTCACTGCTCACCACACTAAACTTGTCCCTAAAGTGACTCGATTCCTTTTTTGGTCACTCGCATTTCGCCCTCGAAATTTCTTCAATGCTTCGATCAATTGAAACACGTTTTAGCCTATTTTGTAGAGGAGATTTACAACTTTCAAATAGTTTATAACATATAACATATAACATTCATCGATATCAGGTTTCTATCTATGGAAATTTATGATTGGAAAATGTTGAAATGCGCATTTCTTATGCATTTACCTAATAGATAGTTTAAAAGTTCTACGATTTTCTTATGATATTCTTCGCTGAGCTGAAACAAAATTCAGTTTTTAAGCTTTTAAACTAACTTTAGGGAAGTGACAGAACTTTTCTTAAACCCTGTATACCTTCAGTAAAGCCATTCTAAGCTTTTTTCAGCGAAACTCTTTTTCTGGCTTTTTGGTAGTGGCTTTTTGGGCGACCAATTTTGTATGCGGAGGGTGCGCTTTTATTATATTTACGAGTATTTACGGTAGCTACAAAATGCTGAAAGCTGCGCCAGGGACGTCAGGAAATGGCTATTCAAACGTAAAAATCCTATAGAAAACGCGCGGATGTGCCCCCTCTCCTTATAATTTTGTTTCGAAAGTATTTTTGAAAGATTAGATCTTTAGATTCTTTTAAATTTTATTGCCAATCATTCTAGATTATACATACAGCTCATATACACCATTCTAAGCACTTTTAAATTAAACTCTTTTCCAAAGGAAGTGACTTTTTGGGCGACCAATGCGGAGGCTTAGGCTTAGGTCCCTGTAATTGAAGGGCTTAGGCCTAAGCCCCTGTAATTGAAGGGCTTAGGCTCTTCAATTACAATATTTACGGTAATCCCATTTCAGATGACTCCAAATGTTTCGAGTTATGAGAAAAACGAAGAAACGATTCATAACACACCAATTACTTGGAATCTTATAGAAAAAGATTTTCAAAACGCTTTTCGTACAAAAGCTAAAATTGGAGAATCAAGATCAGCTCGGAGAATAGGAAATGGAATGGTTGGTTCTGTAAAATTAAGAGTTTCTCAAAGAAATCGAAGACCTAAAAACCCTTAGGTAGAGTCAAACGCATGTTAGCGACAAAAAATACTTACCGTAAATACTGTAATAGTACCCCACCTCCATAATGACGGTGCGGAGTGTTGCGTAGTCTAGTTTTGGACGCGTTTTTCTCAACACTGGTTTATGCTACAATGTGCGCTTAGGTATCAAAAAATAGCTGAAATTCAGGGCTATTTTTGATACCAAAACGAGCATTGTAGCATAAACCAGTGTCGAGAAAAACGCGTCCAAAGCTAGACTACACAACACTCCGCACCTTCATTATGGGGATGGGGAACTATTACAGTATTTACGGTATATGCAATGAGTTTAAAATATTTATGACTGTATTCAAAGCAGAAAAACTAAAATTTTGCAGTGTTATTGCAAAATATCCCCAAAATTTCAGGGCTACATCTCACAAATTTTACTTGCAAACTTTGATTGGGTGAACGACGAAGAAAGTCAATTACCTAAAACAGCTGTTTTGAAGATTACGATAGCAGTGGAAAGAAAACCCTCAAAATTTGGAGCGGAAGGACCTCAAAAATTCGATATGAAAGAGGTTGACATAGGAAAATAGACAAATTTTTATTAAGCAAAGCTTAACAGTTTAGCTTCACAACACAGAATTAAAATTTTACAAGCGATCCATTGATCCCTTGCAAATTCCTGAGACTTTGATGCTGCCCAAGTTTTATTGTGGACGATTTTATGGAGAGGAAGGATTGAATGCTGGTAGGAACAATGCAAATCACTAAAACAATCACTTCGCTGCCAGTTCCGGAGTTAGGAGTCTGGCATAACTGACTGACAGAGTTTGACTAGACAGGATTGAGTCAGAGGCTACGAACAGTTCAAATCAGGCTAGAATCAAGCCCGACCAAGATCGAACCAAGTCAGGCTAACTGGTTTGAACCAAGTAAAGCCAGAGTCAGGTCAGGATTTTATGGAGAGAAGGGATTGGTTGCCGGTAAGGGGTAAAGAAACTACTAGAAAACTGGACTCACTTCAAATTTGACTAGACCAAATTTGAGGTCTCTGGCCAGCCTACAGATTCAGACTAGACTAAGCTAAGCTTTAGTTTGAATAGGTCAATCCAGGCTTGAGACCAATAGGTTGCCAGTAGAATTAGTCCAGTTCAGAACCAAGTAAAAGCATACCACGTTTATCTAGATAGACTCGTCACGCTCAAGTTTGACCAACTCAGATTCAAGCCAGACCAAAGTCAGGTTATTTTTCCCAAAAAGCCGGACCAGCCAGAGCCGGACCAGCCAGAGCCGGACCAGCCAGAGCCGGACCAGCCAGAGCCGGACCAGCCAGAGCCGGACCAGCCAGAGCCGGACCAGCCAGAGCCGGACCAGCCAGAGCCGGACCAGCCAGAGCCGGACCAGCCAGAGCCGGACCAGCCAGAGCCGGACCAGCCAGAGCCGGACCAGCCAGAGCCGGACCAGCCAGAGCCGGACCAGCCAGAGCCGGACCAGCCAGAGCCGGACCAGCCAGAGCCGGACCAGCCAGAGCCGGACCAGCCAGAGCCGGACCAGCCAGAGCCGGGACCAGCCAGAGCCGGACCAGCCAGAGCCGGACCAGCCAGAGCCAGACTTCGTTGATGTTGACCCTGTTTGACTCATTATGCTTGGGAGCATCGCATAGATTGGCTATTGCTATTGAAGCATCGGATAGATTGGATCATCTCTTAGATTTTTCACCGTATATCTATCATTTTCATCTAGGCTACATTGCAATGGAACACATCGAAGAAGCTGTAGACAGGCATATCTATCAAAATGTTGATCAAATCGGTCTCCTTGAGGCTTTGGAGCAACTCATAGAGTTGGCCGTGTTTTGTAAGTTCTCAAGGACAGCCAAAGAAAACTCTTTTAGCTATCAACAATCCCAATAAATTGAATGATTGGCCAAAAATCGGGAAAACTTTGTTTGATCACTTCTTGGCTGCAGATGTATGTGAAAAGTTACTATTTAAAACTTTTGAATGTCAGAATGTTCAAGAGAAGCTTGCAACAAGATGTGAGCTGTTTCCTGTTTTTAAATCGGAATCAAATATCTTGCGGAAATATTTCGATAAAGTTTGGGGAGATTATCGAAAGTTCACAGAGCGACGGGAAAATACTTGTGAGTAGACTTTGCTGTTTAAAACCATAAGTCTTGAGTTGTTATTTACTGTTTAAATAGTTGAATTTGATAAGAATTGTTTGAAAATTGGCTTGGTGATTGTCTATTCATTGTCTATTTAATGTTTATTTATTGTCTATTCCAGGTAAAGTCCCAATTCTCTGTCAAGGAGATATTTGGACACCAAACATCTTATGGAAAATTGATGAAAATGGGATTCATCACGTGAGAGCGTTTATTGATTGGCAAGTGGGTCAAATGTTCTGTTTGTCAAATCTAGAGTAAGAAATAAGGCCCTGTCGATGTAGCTCTTTGGTAGAGCGTTCGCTGGGTAAGTGAAAGGTCGTTGATTCGAATCCTGGCGCCGACCTTTTCTTTCGATTTCCAGTCCAAACCCATAAAAGGACCGGCGTGTCCAACTCTAGTGTCAAGTTGATATCACTAAAAATCAGCCTTGTACCAGCTGCTAACAGACCTACACTATGAAAAGAAAGAATTTAAATTTAAAACTCCGATTAAGTGAGTCTAAATCCCCCATTTCAGCTAGTTCACATCGGTTCCCCACTCGAGGATTTGGTTTTTCTTTTCCATAGCGCTCTCTCAGGAAAAGATTATAAAGAGAAGTATTTATGTTTAAAATTTCAAAGATATAAAATCATTTTCAGAATAAATTTTTATTTACATCATTATTATAACACTTTGAAAAGGCGATTAGAAATGACGGAGAAAAGGATGCCCTGGGAAAACTTTGAAGAGGTAAAGCTATTGCTTAACTATTGCTTTAAGCTTAGTAAGTGGTTTTTTTTGAAGAGGTAATGATTACCTAAGCGGAAATCTATTGGCTTAGAATAATTTTCGTATAACTATCTGTTTTCAGTTCAAAGAACAGTACGAGATCGCCTACGTTTACATGTTGGGCATTCTGTGGCGAATTTCGTTGATGATTTTGGAAGAAGAGATCGAAAAGGATGGTTGGTTTAATTCAGATAAGCTTTTAAGGTTATGCTTAATGTTTTAAGGTTTAAAAAAACAAAGATATGATAAACAGTATGATAAACAATTTTTAGCAACATTTATGAATGGAGATGGAGCTACTTTGGTCGGGAAAACTCTGTTCCAAGCCCGAGAAACGAATCGAATACTTGAAAAATACTTTGAAGAATAATTTTTGAAAAATATAGAAGTTTTTATCACAAATTGCTTTGAAAACAAGTTAGCAACAACAATTTGGAAAAACAACTCCTTGACGCTTCTTGAATTTATCCAGTCAACTGCCATTTGTTTGAAAATCACTAATTCTTTTACAAGCTTGCCAACTCCATCGCTTTCTCTTGAAGCATTTTGCCGTCAACACATTCGTTTTGACTTCGAATTTGCTTTAGCCAAATAAACACAGAGTCTTCGGATTGATTCGTATTGGCTCGTCTTGAATCGCTCCTCCTTCATCGATGGCTCCTCCTTCATCGTCTTGAATCGCTCCTCCTTCATCGATGGCTCCTCCTTCATCGTCTTGAATCGCTCCTACTTCATCGATGGCTCCTCCTTCATCGTCTTGAATCGCTCCTCCTTCATCGTCTTGAATCGCTCCTACTTCATCGATGGCTCCTCCTTCATCGTCTTGAATCGCTCCTCCTTCATCGATGGCTTCCATAATCGCCGAGAATTCCTAAGAATTGTTGAAATTGTTGATCGCAGTAATTCAAAGCCCTTCGTCAATCAGCCGTTCCTTTCAAAGATGATTGATCGAGTATTTTCTTCTTCAAAGCCAAATCGATTGATCGACGCGTTCACTTTCCTCGCTCCATCGCCTAAAATATCAGAATGTTCTCAAAAAATTAAAGAATAAAAAACTTTATATGAAGCACACTTAAGATAAAAACTTTACAAGAAGTAAACAAGTAAAGCGTTGTATCAAGGTGATCGTTGTATCAAGGTGTTCGTTGTATCAAGGTGTTCGTTGTAGCGAAGTGTTCGTTGTATGGAAGTGCTCGTTGTATCGAAGTGTTCGTTGTATGGAAGTGCTCGTTGTATCAAGATGTTCGTTGTATCGAAGTGTTCGTTGTATCGAAGTGTACGTTGTATCAAAGTTTCACTGTATGCATAAAGCTTTGAGTTGAATTCTATTACGTAAAAACTATACTCTTCCTTAGATATTTAGATTGGGGCAATAGTGTTTACTTTCACTGAAACATTTCAACTAACCCCTCTAGTATTAATCAAAGCCAGCTTTTATTGACTATTTTATTTCCATATTATAAAATTTCTCTTTGAAATGCTTCACAAGATTGCACCAGAGTGACGGGTTTTGTCTTTTTTTTTCTGAAAACTCTTTGCCTCTTCTCTTTTCCCAATATTTTCCAATAGTCAACAGATCAATGAACGCGCTGATAAAAATTTGACGAATTTCTCTATAAATAGATCTAAAAATTGCTGCTATCAACTGCCAAAAAGTAAGTTTGTTTGAAATTTTTTGAAAAATTAATAAAGATTAAAGGATACAGAAATAAAATTAATTAAATTTCATAAAATTAAGCCATGAATTTCAGAAAATGGAGAAATTCGGAGAAATTATGAATTCGGAAAACATTTGGACACACCAATCACTTGGAAAATCCTTGAGATTGATTTTCAAAACGTTTTAACTCTTCGGCTGAGATTGGTGAGAGAAGATTGGTGAAAGTGATTGGCGGTGGAATGGTTGGTTTAGTTCGTTGTATCGTAGTGTACGTTGTAACAAAGTTCCACTATATGTATAAAGCTTCGAGTTGAATTCTATTACATTAAAACTGTACCCTTCCTTAGATACTTAGCTTGGGGCAAGAGTGTTTAGTTCATGAGTTGAAATTTATCCACTCAATATTTATTCTCAATATTTTTTAACCTGAAAGTTCTTTCTTTTTCAAAGAGCATCAACCGGCTTTGAGTTTTAATATTAGCCAATTGTACATACAAGAGTTAGATTCATTGGAAAGTTTCAATTTTACTAGCAAATTTTAAAGTAAGCTCCAAGTAAGCTTTAATTTGATACTTAAGCGCGCAGAAACAAACGTACTGGTGTCGAGATATGAGAGTTTGTTTGAGAGTAAACTTAGAGCCCCTAGGCCTCCTAAGCTCCTAGGCTCTTCTACTAAAATCTTTACGGTATTCTAATTTTTGATATCCACTTATTTATTAAATCCATTTTTCCAGGGTTATGTCTCAAAGTTGCTTCTCATCGATTTTGATTGGACTCACGACGTCGACCGTTTACCGAAGTGCTCTGTGGTGAAGATCACAATCGAGTCCCCAGATTTGGACCCACCTTCTGTTAAACCGAAAATCGATGATCCGATCATTATCACTGAGAGAATGGTGAATATCAAATTCCATTTTCAATTCAATCCAACTATTAACAATTCAAAATCAATCTATTGGGTCGGTGAATTGAAAACTGCGGGCTATTGTCATATGTCACAGTTTGAGCACTTTCTTCAAAAGAAACCCATTTTGGTGTCAATGGAAAGTTGTAGAGAATCAAAAATTAGGCTTATAGCCAAATTTTCAGAACGATTCAAATCCTGGTTTTCAAGAAATGCCAAATTTACGAATTTTCACAAAACTTGCATTTTAAGCGAAACTACTAAGTGTATCTTTTTGAAAATTTGGCTATAAGCCTAATTTTTGATTCTCTACAACTTTTCTATTGACACCAAAATGGGTTTCTTTTGAAGAAAGTGCTCAAACTGTCCGCCATCTCCAGTCCGCCATTTTTGAGTCTCACACTTGTCTCACACACAAATCAAAATCCTACTACGAAAGAGGAATCCGCAAATTATTTGTAAAATGGGCAGAAGTCGTCAATAATAATGGAAATTATTTGGAATGAATTGATGGTTTTATATTGAATAAATTTTAGTTCAAAGTCCCGCAGTTTTCAATTCACCAACCTAATATCAACAATTCAAAATCAATCAATTTCAGATGCACGATACAGAACTTTTCTTCTATAAGAGCTCACTGGATTCAAGAAAAGTTCCACAAAATCTCAAAATTCCGAAGTTTTACTGTGGACGTAAATATGGAGAAGATGGAGTGGATGCAGGTTTGTTGGGGAAAATGAATACCGGAATTCTGGGCGAATCCGTTTTTAAATTTAACTAACTAGGAAAGGCAAAAACTTCTTGTAGAGATTAAAAAAGAGCTTTCCAGAATCTCCATGGCACATGCTTGTACGATTTCTAGACAAGAAGATTACAAGCCTCCAAAGAAGGGACACTTTTTTTGTAGATACAGCTTTCGTTTCTGGATACAGTACCGCTCAAAATTATATCACCTACAAAATAGTGTCCCTTCTTTGAGGCTTACAATCTTCTTGTCTAGAAATCGTACAAGCATGTGCCATGGAGATTCTGAAAGCTGTTTTTTATCTCTACAAGATGCACTATAGTGTTTTTATGACTTTAAGTAAGATCTTTACTTTAACTTTAAGCAAGTTATCCTTTTTTGAATCAATCTTCAACTTTAGCATCAAGGCTTAATGATGCAATATTATCGAAAAGTAAAACTAAAGAATTCATTCGGGAATTTTGAAGTTTTCCAATACTATTATTAAATTCAATAAAAACACTAAACAAAGATAATTAACACAAAAACATCCCAAAAAACAGTCTGAGAAACGTCTAACGGATTTAGTGGTTAACCCAGAGCGAGGATTTTCTTTTCGGCGTTGTTTGTCTAGTGAGAACCGTTAAAAAAACTCCGAAAAACACTTTCATATGGTCAATTTTTTTACGCTCTTTTCAAAAATCACAGTTTAAAATTGATTCAAAGGGTCTACCGTAGATAAAAATCGTTCTGAAAAGTACGCAAATTTTCACCTCTAATTTAAGCATTCCAATTTTAGATTAAAAATCATCTTAAATTTTCGCATTCTTAAAAGTCTTATAGTGCATCTTGTAGAGCTAAAAAAGAGCTTCTACAATCTTTATGGCACATGCTTGTACGATGACTAGACAATAGACATGTTCATTTTCGACTTTTGGCTGGGTTTTGGCCGGGTCGGGTCAGCGGGTCGAGTCAAGGTATAATTGCATTCAACGAGAAGGCATTCCAGTGGATTGATTTCATTCCTTTCCGGATGCTTGCTTATTTCGGGCTCAATTTGATCATCAAAACAATGGGAATCTAAGCAAACGTAACAGATTATTTTTTTGAGACAGGCTACTATTTTTGAACAGGATCCGCTCTTTGATGTTATTCCAGACAAACTCTTCATACAAAATACCTCTGCAACTCCAGCATGGGTCCAGAAATATTGCTTCTTGCAAAAACTCATCCTGACAAGCTTCTGCGGTGGCTTTGTTGAGCTTGTCTGTGAACTCTTTGCATATATCGATAAGTGCTTCATCAAAAATCTACTTTTCTTCATTAAGCATAAATTATTCAGAAACTGAGAGGTCGCAATTTAGAAAAGATAGTTGGGGTCAGTCCAACAAAGCTGGGTCGGGGCTCGGGTCAGCGGGTGATCCGGAAAAAAAAGCCGGGTCGCGGGTCGGGTCAGCGGGTCACTTTTGACCCGATCCTACCCGACGCCCATGTCTACTAGAAAAAATGTTACAAGCCTCCAAAGAAGGGACATTTTTGGAGGTGATGAGCAGGCATTGTACATCTTACAAAATTGAGTACGGAGACTCATAATCTGAAATCAAAATCTCCCAAATAAGCTTGCAAGGGCAATTGAATTGAAATTTCGAAGCTAAGCTCTAAAGTGCTATGTGGATAATGGGACAGCCTCTCGACCGGTAGTAAGACCGGGTTTCAGTCCCGATCTTGGTTTTTTGGCTTTTCTTTAAATTTAAACTTTAAAACTTTACATTATAACTATTCAATGTAAGTAAGAAGCTAACTAATTAGATTTTTAGCAATTCCTAACGGTTCATTTATTTGAAAGTGTTGCCTTAAAGTTTAACTTTAGGCTACATTGCCCTGGAGTACATCACAGACACCGTTCCAAAGCACTTCTACCATAATATACCCAAAAATGGAGTACTTGAGGCTTTGGATGAGCTAGTGAAATTGGCTGCTTTTTGTGAGTTTCTTGAGTTTCTTGTAAACTTTATAAATTCAACCCCTTTCCAGCTCTTCAAAATCCCGAATCCCTTGCAATCTGGCCCACCAATCGATACTCAATCCTTAACAATGTCTTGGCTTACTGTAAATTCTATGAGCCGGTAAACTTTTCAGCCTATCAGCTCTACTAATCAAATCTAGAACCTAGAAACGAGATTGCGACGAGTTAGTGAAAAATTCTCTGAATTATTTCATGAAATTGAGAAAATCATCGAGTATTTACCCAGAAATTTCTTGAATTTTCAAAATTTTATGGCATTGAGAAGCTCAACATGTGAGTGATATCACTATTTATTTCTGAATCTCATTTAGGTTTAAAGCCGATGCTTTGCCAGGGTGACATTTGGTCACCAAATATTCTATGGAAAACTGATGAATATGGAGAGTTTCATGTTGGAGGATTGGTGGATTGGCAGGTGCGAGATTCATAATATGCTTTATTCAGTTGAATAGCGACAACAGGATCACAATAATCACCCAGGATACCACTCAAAACACACCCAAAAGATAAATCGATACTTCAAGAAAGAATCACAGAGCAGTCAAAACAATTGCCGAAATTGCGGCTTTAAATCTAGCCAAGGTGGAAACATCACGAACATGAGGGGGTAAAATGTTCCAGAATTCAATAACTCGATTAAAAAAGAACCTGTGGGGGCTTTTAGAGGAAACGGAAGGTTGGCGTATGAGTAAAGGCCCCGTAGGCCCCAAAGAAAAGGCCTTCTGGAGGCGCCCTGTAGAGAGCCGAATTCAAAGAGGCCAGAAAAATGGGGATCGGGATGAATGCCTTTAAATTGTGCAATATATCAGCAATGCAATAAGCTTAACTTTGAAATTTATAAAGATAAAATTGAGAACATTATCAAATTCAAGCATCAACTTGATTCTTTAGTCTTCGAATGCACTTCGAATTGAATTTCGTATAATTTGACTTCTCGTGAATTTACTTGACTTTTGACTTTTACATAAACAAGAGAGCATAAACGCATGACTTTTATAGAAATAAGAGAGCATAAACGCATGACTCTTACATAAACAAGAGATCATAAACGCATCACATTTATCGAATCCATTTTTAACTTAGTCCTGATCTTTATCTGTATAATTTTTGGAAATCCCGATCTTTTAACAGGTCAGTTCAAAGCTTCGAAGCTTTCCTTGGAGGTTTCAAAAGGGAAACACCTTATACCGGGCTGTATGCCAGATTACACGATTACGCGGCCGTATAAAGAACACCTCGCCAGTCACTTTAGTTAGTTCTGTAAAGTGTAAAGTTTATAGTCTTTTGTTCTGTAAATGATTCCCAAATGAGATTTAATGTCAAAATTTGTGACCCGTTGTTTTCAGGGTCGTAGAACCTATTGGCGGAGTTTATTTCAACCGTTTGCCCCAAAAAAAGTCGCAAGAGAATCGAAATCGAATTGGCTTTGGGTTTTGCATAAGATAGCACAATGAAAAACCCGAATTTCTGAGAAGAACGAATTTTGGTGTTTGTAAAGCATCACTTCCAGGTCACTCAGGTCGGCTCACCACTCGAGGATCTTGTCTTTCTCTTTCACAGCACACTTTCTGTTAAAGAATATTCAACTAAGTGAAAATGAAAACGATTTTCTTACACACTCAAGTTTAGCTTGAACGATTATATTCAATTCTACTTTGAACAATTGAAAGCTGAAAGAGATTCGATGGATTTGCCATGGGAGAGTCTAGATGAGGTTTATTTTAGCATAAATGCTCTAATAGCTCTAATAGAACGCTCTAATAGATCGAATTGCTCTAATAGAACGCTCTAATAGATAGAATAGCTCTAATAGAACGCTCTAATAGAATGCTCTAATAGATAGAATAGCTCTAATAGAACGCTCTAATTGATAGAATAGCTCTAATAGAACGCTCTAATAGAACGCCATCTTCTCGTACAAATCTCATATAATCTAACTTCTTTTTAGAAAAGCATTTTTTCTCAGCCCCTAAATTTTCCTAACTATACTTTAGTTCCAAAAATACTAGATTTCAAGGGCTATGATTTGACATTTAAGCGCACACTGTAGCTTAAAGCAGTGCGGAGAACGGGGCGTTCAAAGTTAGACTACGTGACTGTACGCTCGTCATTATTTCTATTAGAGTATTTATACTTCTATTAGAGTATTTACGGTGGTTTTAAATCCTCATTTTTAGGAATAATTGCCAAATTTTTTCTTGTTAAGTCATAGTTTTATTTAGCTGATCAAAAGCTACGAGATTACCTACGCTTACATGATTCCGATTCTCCTTCCGCTTACCGTTTCAATGGTTGACTTTGAGAAATCGTGTTCGGGTAAGGAAATTTTTATATTTCATAATTTGAATTCAAAATAGAGTCAAAACCTGGATAACAAAAACGCTCACGGGATTTCAAAAAAACCTTTTTTTTATCGTTTTCCCTTATAATGCTAAGAAATAATCTAAAAACGGGAGTGGGACAAATGCTACCTTTTTTTGCGCACCTTGCCCATTAGCGCACCTTTTTTCGCGTTTTAAAAAAGCTCTAAAAAGCTAATATTAACCAATTTCTATTCCAAAAGTTGTTTTTCTAGGTAATTTTAGGGCGTAGAATCGAAATTTTGACATATCAGAGCGTGTGGAACGAATTTGAAAGACAAAACGGCTAGATCAAATTACAGAAAATTGTCGATTTTTCTCTTTGTATAACTCCGTCCGTTTGTTTCCACAAGCTCTGATATGTCAAAATTTCGATTCTACGCCCTAAAATTACCTAGAAAAACAACTTTTGGAATAGAAATTGGTTAATATTAGCTTTTTAGAGCTTTTTTAAAACGCGAAAAAAGATGCGCTAATGGGTAAGGTGCGGAAAAAAAGGTGCGAAATGTCCGGGTGCGCAAAAAGAAGGTCGCATTTGTCCCACTCCCTCTAAAAACAGAAAAAAAAGTATAGAAAAATAGAAAAATGTGCTCTTTAATACGATCAATGTTTTCATTTACATAAATAAGATTAATTTTATTTTAAAAAACAAGATGTAAAGCGATCTTATGATAAAATTGACACCAAAATAACTAAGGGTAGTTTCTTTGCACAAATTTTAGCTGATATCAATACAAAACATCAAATATTCAATCAAACAAGTTGTGCAAAGTGGCTAGGCGATAAAAGGAAATAAAAATAGAATGAAAATACTGAAACTATTACTTGTCACAAAGAAATGCAAATGATCAAAATGAGTGAATACTGAAAGAAAACGAATCCTTTTATACGTTCATTGCTTAAAAAGTACTCTGAATAGGAATAGGTAGACTGAATAGGTGCTCTTTAAGGCTCATTTTAGAATTTAGCTAATTAGTGAAGTGTGGAAAGCCGTAATGTTTGTTATTGAGGCTAAAATTAAACTAATTTTACTAATTAAACTAATTTATCGGGATACGGAAAAGTCTGTTTGTTAACGAGGTTTTTGCGCTTTTTGCTTTTTGCTTTTTGCTAAGAATTTCGCCATAAGACCTCAATATCTTTTTGATGTCATGGTTTAACTGTATATTCAAAGCTGTCAAGGTTTAACTGTATATTCAAAGCTGCCAAGGTTTAACTGTAGATTCAAAGCTATCAAGGTTTAACTGTAGATTCAAATCTGTCAAGGTTTAACTATATATTCAAAGCTGTCAAGGCTTAACTGTATACTCAAAGCTGTCAAGGTTTAACTGTAGATTCAAATCTGTCAAGGTTTAACTGTAGATTCAAATCTGTCAAGGTTTAACTGTAGATTCAAAGCTATCAAGGTTTAACTGTATACTCAAAGCTGGCAAGGTTTAACTGTAGATTCAAATCTGTCAAGGTTTAACTGTATATTCAAAGCTGTCAAGGTTTAACTGTCTATTTAAAACCAAGTTTTCAAGCTGAAATCATCGAACAATGCAAGGACACGTGGAAAGCGAAAGTGATCCTAATGGCTAAAGAAAGTGTAAGATGTTTGGAAAAACATTTACACAAATAAATTTTTGAGTTATTAAATTATGAATCAGTTTTTGCAATTAAAAATATTGGCACGACTAACATGATAATACAAAGAAGAATGATAAAGAGCCAACAAAGTCTTACTCTTCGCGTCATCTTTCCTCTAGCATAATTGGGCTCGGGCATCGGTGGATGAGAGCCAAGCGCTGAAATTGTTTAAATACCGTATTTACCCAAAGAGACGGTCAGTTGGGCGTGGTTTCCCCGTTTGTGTGGGTTCCTGGGCTAGGGTTTAAGGGAAAACCCACCACAACACGGTTCCACCGCCCCAGACACCCCTTGATTCACGGGTACACAGCTATCTTCATGTATCATTTCACAGCCCGTGGTTCTTTACAATTTCAATTGTGTTAATTGCATATGATTTCATTGAAATCTTTAGTAGAAACTTTATTGGGACGAGTAAAAGAAGGAAAAGTCAATAGAAAATCAAATTAGATAGCAGGAAAGGTTACGGAAGTCGCAACTTTCTTGTCAAAAATGAAAAGGAAACAAAATGAAAGCAACTGGCGAAGGATACAGTAGCCGGGGTGTGGTATAAAAAGCTTACCGGTCATTTCCTAGGCTCCCCGATGATTGATATCTTAGAAGTAGGATGAAAAATTTAGGTAGTTAACGATAAGCTCTTGTTCGGAAAAGACTGGAGTTCGGAAAACCCTGCTAGAACAATACAAAACTGAATTGCGGATGTTTATTAGAGTCTAACAGCCTGATAATTTCTTTCGTAACTTGCTGACAATCTTTTAAGATAAGTTTCTTGCCTCTTGTAATCATTTTACAATACTTTAGAACGTGACTTGCCTCAAGCAAGTTGAGAGAAGTCCAGTTTTTCAGTGAATCAGTAGTTTTAGCTATTAGAATTTCAATTGAATACGTGAATAGCTATCTTGAAAGCAAGATGTTTTGTTAATTACGATTATTAAACACTTTAACCAACCCAGCACTCCAACCGTTCTCGGTTGTTCTCGTCTCGGTGCTCGAATAACGATCACATGATTCAAATGCCCGGGTGAGGTATCGCGTTGGGCTGCCTAGATTTCTTCTTTTCAATAAAACACAAAGAAATATTGTGCTTCCATTTAGCACAAAATACATTTCAAATAGCTTAGTTTAAAGTCTGACTTCTCTTTCCCTTTGCAGTTCCCTTTCGAGACGTTTTCTTCGCGCCATTTCTACTCGAAGAGCTGCTTGAAGAGCTTGCGGGTCCAAATTGTGAACTCTTGGCTGAAAAATGAATAGAATATGAAATAGAATATAAAGAAAATAAGTTTGAGCCTTTCGATCAAAGGAATGGCTTTAGAATCAAGTAGAGAAAATGAATCTGATAATCTGATAATAAGCTTTAGGTCAAACCAAACTAGCCATTGCCAGGACCATGCTAGACATCATTGCAAGCAATTATGCACAGCTAGGTAACTTGGCCTAGTTATGTTTTTAAGTTAGTTATAAGCTAACAAACTGATCTACTAATAGTAAGGGAAATAGAAAGGGTGATTGTTGGCAATTAAAAGTTAATGTGATCATTTTCGCTTAAGCCACATAGCTTTTTGTACTGCTTGGTTATGGTTGTTAAAGTCATTAAAAATGTTACGATTCTTCTATTTTATGTAAAATTACGGGCAGGTTTTATGATTAATTGTTGTTTCTTTGCTTAGGTTAATGTATTGTTTTAGAAAGTTAAAAAGATGCATTAAGCGTAACACTATAAATGCCGCACCTTGTGCAGTAGCTATACGGCTAACTAGCAAAAAACCTATCGATGTAGAATGTGGATTTAGATTAGAATATTAATACTAATTAGAGTACTGGAAAAAGAGTAGTAAAAATAACCGGAAATACCTTTAAATGTTATGGCTAAATGCTTGTCATTGATAACTTTGATAACCATTGTCAGACTAAGACTAACTTCTCCCTGCTATCCCCACAATCTAGCAACAACCTACGTACAGTAGCTAGAAGACTAACCAACAAAAATGTATCGAATTAGAAGCTGGAATTAGATTAGAATTAGAGAACTGGAAAAAGAGTAGTAAAAATAACCGGAAATACCTTCAAATGTAATGGCTAAATGCTTGCCATTGATAACTTTGATAACTTTACCTCATCAGTCTCATCTTCGACGTATGCTGGAGGTGGTTTATTCTCCGAAAAAGATGAAGTACTAACTGAAAAATGCTAAAAAAATCCAATAAATTCATAGAATTCAAAGTTGACAAAGTTTAAAACATTTAAAACATTTAAAATCCAAAATTCCTGAAACAAACCAAAGTCTGGATACGCTGGTGGAGGTCTACTCATCCTTCAGAACCTTCAAAAAACTCAATATTGACCAAAAATATGATTTTTTTGAAGCAATAAAAATTTTATTGATGTTCTCGGACCAGAAATCACACGGTTTTTCTTTTAAAAAAAAGGGAAATTCCTTATCACGAAAAATTCCCCAAAATTTTTCCATCTTCTTCACCTTTTTCTCATCACAAAAGGATAAAGAAGCTTAGATTATTTTTGAAATTTCTTTACATCAATAGGATTTTAGAGAAAATCCGGTAAGAAATGGTGACTGTTCACAAATTTTCATTGAAAGGCATGGCAGTGATTGATCGCTCTTTGAAGTTGACTGTTTCTGACAAAGAACTCTATTCAGATTCAAGATTGCAAAAACTATGATGGAAAATAGACTTATTCAATGAAAAGACAGATTAATCGGCAAGTAAATTAGTTATTTGTTGAGCAAGTTGCAGTTTTTAATGCTTTAATTGCATTTAATTGCGAGATCTGTTCCGCAATCTTGGCTCAGGATATTCCTCGTCACTCAAAAAGTGTCTGCAACCAAAGGCTTCCTGAACAATGGCTTTGCAAAGAACTTTACTCGAATGCTAAAAGTGTGAAACACCATTGTTATCGCTTTATTAATGATGAGTTGATCATTTGGAGAACATGGCCTCACTATTAGGTCGACCGAGTGCTTGATCTGATCGTCTGATCATTTTGATTTGGACCCGAGTCTATCAGCTGCTAAATTTAGCAGAGTTTTTGGATTCACCAAACTTTCTTGGTGAACCTCGAGTTTTGCTAAACACCTTGGAGAATGTTTAGCAGTGCTGCCAGCTCCGAAAAACACTTATAGCTTTGCTCTGAACAAAGATATCAAAAAACTAATAACAGATTCGCAGCAGAATATTCAGTTTACAAGAAACAAAACTCAATTTTCTTAAATTAAGCAAAATTCTTTTGGTATTTAGCATTTAGCAAAGTTGCTAAATGCTAAATGCTAAGTTGCTAAATAGATTTTGCAAAATTGGTAAATGCTAAACTGCTAGATCCATTTAGCAAAATTGCTAGATGGGTAAATCGGTAAATATTCGGTTGGAAAGAAAGTGTGACTGAAATTTTATTACTTACATTATATTACTCGGCAGCAGAAAAATGCGTAAGTTGTAATTTGCATGCAAAAGGGTACATCTACACTACTGGACAATGAAATTTCATATTTGAAAAAAGATCATCACTTTCGCCCGTCTGTAACGCCCTTGTCTTTACCGTATTTCTAAATATTAATATTACCATTGTGTAGCCATTGAAAAGAGCTTTCAGAAAATGTATAACACTAATAGTTTAAACTTAAAGACAAGGGAGTTACAGACGCGCGAAATTGACGATCTTTTTTTCAAATATGATACTTCATTGTCCAGTACTGTATTTATAAAAGGAAAATTTGAAGAGTTTTGTGTATTTCTATCAGAAAATCAGATGAAATTATATTCGTTTTGTGAGCAAAAGTTTCGGACAAAACTTCTCTTGCTGGGAAGTCTTGAAACGAAAATGAAGAGGTGAGAAGGGAGTTGGCTTAGCTTTTTGATAAGCACTAAAATTTTTCCTGTAACTACAGTGCTAACCGTAGTGGCTTTTGTCTCAAAAACACAACCAAAATTGGGGAAAAAATTAATTCCAGGAATTTTGGCATAGCAACGCCCAAAACGATTTTGTTAACAATCTTCAATCCTCACAATCCTCTCAATCCACCGTATCCCATAATAAATTGATCGAGGTACCCAATTTTGCTGACTCTTTTCTTGTTGGCGATCCACGTAAATAGGTAGACTCCTCGAAAAAAGTGAATTTTTGATAATTATTTGAATTTTTGAAAATTTCATATTTGAAAAAACACTTTCGCACTTTTGCGCATCTGTAACTCCCTTGTCTTTACCGTATTTCTAAATATTAATATTACCATTGTGTAGCCGTTGAAAAGAGATTTCGGAAAATGTATAACACTAATAGTTTAAACTTAAAGACAAGGGAGTTACAGACGCGCGAAAGTGACGATCGTTTTTCAAATATGATATTTCATTGTCCAGTACTGTATAACAGAAGCAAAATATCTACGCAGCTAAAATATTCTTATAAAATTACAATATTAAAATTATATACTTGCTGTAGGTATACTGTAAAGAACAGGTCTTACTGTATCTTTTATTGTAAGAACGTTGATCAAATTGTACTTTCCAGAAATTAGCATAAAGTACAGGTAAACTATTCGGTTAATTGAGCTCTGGGGAGAGCCAATTGTTGACAAAATTTTAGATGAAAATTTGGCGGATAAAACTGGATAGTACCGATTTTTTAAAGTTAAATTTGGATTGTATGATAGTGAGCTGTTTCATTGATCATTGGAAAGGTCTGTGCTCTGCACTGAAACACGTCTTTTGCTTCATTTCTTTGTCTTATTTGTGAATTATCTGCAAGTGGTAATCAGCAGGCATCTGGTTGGAAGAAACTTACTGTAGCTATTCTTCTTTATATAGTTTTAATAATTATATCTCACCGCACCATTGCTTCTTTAGTGTTTTTAAGAATTTCCGTCTTTTTGCTTCGCTTGATTGATTTGCTTTTGCAAGTGATGACTTTGAAAGCGATCAATGATCTCATAAAAATTAGGTACACTACTGGACAATGAAATATCATATTTGAAAAAGA